TTTTTGTATAGTATTTGGTTTCTCTCTGCAGGTGGAGCGGCCATAAATCTACAACTACATTACCTGTAAACCATCACCATAGTCCCTTGTGTTCTTTATTCCTGTTTTGACCCCATTCCCTCCCCCTCCTCTGTTGTATGCCTCAGAACTATAGTTTGCCTGTTTGGACCCCTTTGTTAAGTTTCCCTGTATTCCTCCTTTAAGTGAAACCATCTCTTAGTAGAACAGGTTCCTGAATAACACACCAAAGTCTAATTCACAATAGCTGACGAGTATATTCTCTCCCTGTAGGTTTATACTTCTACCTTAATGTATTAATAAGGTCATGAAATCAAAATAGGGGAGTTGATAATATAATGCAGTGGGTACTGAAGGGGAGAAACATGATATTTTCTGTAAATAATCAGTGGGTTTTGCAGGTTGTATATTCTGCTGGAGTGAGTCAAAGGGCAGGAAAAAACCAACTAGGTAATAATACATTAATGAATGGGGATGGCTATGTCACAACAGATATTTGCAAAAACAGACTTCCTGATAACATTTTAAACTTCAGGTTGAAAGCTAGAGCAAAACGACCAACTTTCCTCTGACTCTTGGTTTTTCTATGCAGACTGGATGTCCAACTGAAAGATTAATTTGGTTTCTTTAAAGGAACTTTTCAAAAAAAACATCTTCATTAGGCAGGGGCTCAAGTGTTGGTTTTGATCATCAATACTTTCACAGAAATTAAAGCTCAGTTATATTAAATTCTCTTTTGGATGCTGCATACTGATGTCCAAAGTGCTTTGGATGTCCAAAGCACTAAGACATTTCCCTTATTAAGCTGGCATTAACTCTTGAAAAACCAGTACTAAATTTATTTTCTAACTGTTCTCGCAGACAAGTACTGGGCATATAGAGAGTAAAATGGCACTGCGTGGAAATAAAGAGTCTACTGTGTGAAAATGTTAAAACGTATTAAAAGTCAGAATTCACTGGCAATGCTGGGAAGATTATCTCCATACAATTATAACAGCTGAAAAGTTAAATAATCAGCAACAGCTTAAAATAACAAAAACAGTATAAAATATCTTTTCATCTATTTTCATAGCAATTTTAGAAAACTGTAATGGACTTTTTATCCTTTAGCCTAGAAACTAATATTTAAGCCACCACACTGTTACAAGGGACGTACCATTGGTCTAATGAATCTTTCATATTTAGGTGGTTTTCTTGTAAAGCCATCTCCAACAAAGCAGACTTTTGTGACCATCCTCTTCCATGCTTTCTTCTTTCTCTTTCCTGTTCGAATAACTTTTAATACTTCTGTTTCTCCCTGAGCACGAACTTTTGGTAGTGGGACCTCCCACTTCCCCTAAAGAGACCAGTTAAAATCTGTTAGCAAAAGACAATGAAAATAGAGATGTTTTGGTTGTATAAAATAATAGATTAAATTTCTTTCCTTAATTATCCAACAAGTTTTTGGTTCAGTTGTTTCTAGAGGTCCGTACTTTCTTTTCACAAGTCCCAGAGTAACTGGAACAGGGTAAGTTTACATACTATGGGTACAATATATAACATTTGCTTAAGCTAAAAATCTTAATGCTTTGCCATGGATGAAAAATACCACCACCACTGTTAAAAGACAATGACTTCTCTAAGCAGTGTAAGGCTTACTACTAAATAGCGAACAGTGTAGAACTTTATAAAGTGTTTCCACCTCTCTTTTCCCTACCTCTAATTTTTTGTGTTTCTACCCTGAATGGATTTTTAGATTATATTATTAGTAAGACAAAATTACTACATCTTGTTACTCCTAAAGCAAACTAAAAAAAAAAACACAAGCAATGCAAGGGAGTAGAAAGAATTCGACACTTATTACTAAGACAGATTCTAGAAGCATCACCATCATTTCACATGTATGTGATTTACAACTTCACAGACTTCAGTCTCTTCAACTATAAAACAGAAGTACATAAGCAGATAACCTTTAAAATTTCTTTCAGTGCTACTGTTGTACCATTCTGATTTTGGATATTTATATCTACCCCGAAGGCCCACCAAGGAAAAAAGAAAAACACAAAAACAAAGATTTTAAAACCAAATTTGGAGAATAAACATCTGCATATTCTGCTGATACCTGGACTTCTTTAAATCTATCCCAAAGTGTTTAAAAATATTATTTATGCCTTTTTCTGTTTTTAGCAGAATTTTAGCATAATCTGACACTGTAATATTGTGGTATTTTAGAAAATTCTGCTTCCCAACCTACTTTTAAAACTCATTTTGGGACTGGAGGATAGTAAAATCAAGAAGTAATTATATTCTCCTCAACAACACAGCATTAGGAGCTGTCAAGTATCGAAAGTCAATAAAAGACTAACTTTGAGATTCACTGCTTATTCACTGACTTTTTATTTTTTAATTTTTTTTTTAAGTGAAGGTGTGTGACATTCTAATAAATTTAATACCTGATCAATACTAAAACATTTTGGCAATAAGTTTTTTTTTTTGTAAAAGTATTTATACATTTTATTCCAAATGAAATTTACAAAGACTTCAACATCTAAATGGGAATAACAGTTGGACTTCATGTTTCCAATTAAACTAAAGAAGCCAACTAAGAAGATCAAATTTAAATTTAGAATAATTCTCTACACATAAAGACTTAATTATTTCTTACCGCTTTCTCTTTTCGTTTTTGCTTAATCATATTGGAAAGTACTTTAGCGCGGGATTGCCCCTCTCTGTCCAGCAGATATGCAGGTACTGCGCCTTGTGGTGTCTTGTCATCATTCTTTTGCTTGGTGTTTCTCTTTTCATGCATCTTGATACTAATAAGAAGGAAAAGAGATTTAAGGTTATCATTCTTAATAACTTATTTCAACAGATGTCAACTTGTTACTAACAAATAAATAGTATCACTTACGTCTTTTTCATTTGTATTTTCTCAGCATGGCGCTGTTTATGGTAGAGCTTAGCTTTCAGGCCGATCATCTTTTTTGCCTTCTTTGAACGTTCATGAGCCTCTCGACCTTCCTTCTTCCTTTTTTTTTCATGGTAATCCAAACGGTATCCATAGCGTTTACGGTGTAACTCGATATATTCGTTTTGTGGCTATAATGATGCAAGAAATTTTACTTTAATTTCTAAAATTTACAATTCTAAGAAATTTTTGAGAGTTATATCAAGTATAGAAGGCCCTATATGATCTTAGTGTTCCTTGCTTAAATGTCACTTGCTCTATTAAGCTTATTCTCATAATGTAACTCAAATAAATTTGATTAAGGGTGGTAAGAGGTGCCAGGATTTACATCTGTAATAATCTAAGAGAAATTATTGTTCACTGAAGGGAACTGTATAAAATCCAACAGACTACCAAAGGTGTGATGTGATTAAAAGATATCTTTTTCCCTGAAACTCACTAATTTTTTTCCCCAGTAACATCATCATTATAGTCATGTTTTACTTAACAACTTTTGGGTCAATGATAGACTAAATAAACTAGGCTATAAGCTATATAGCGTAGGTATGGAATAAGATATAGCCTAGGTTAGATATATCATCTAAGTTTGTTTAACTACTCTCATGATGTAGACAAAAAGTAATGACACATCTCAGGCCACTTTCCCATCATTAAGAGAGGCAAAACTGTATTCACATTTTTATTAAATCGTCAAGTTACATTGCAATATAATTTACATATAAAATTTGGCTCTTTTAAGTGCAGGTGTACAGTTAACATGTTTTAATAAACTCTACAGTTCTATAACCACCAAAATCAAGACAGTATTTCCATCACTCCCAAAAGCTCCCATGTATCCCTTTGAAGTCAGTCCTTCCCTACCTCCAATCGGCTATTCACCTTTACAGTTATGCCTTTCTCAAAGTTAGGTGTACATAGAATCTAGTTTGTGGTCTACTTAGCTTTTTTCACTTAGCATTAAGTGAAAATAAGTTATTTCATGCATCAACACTTGAATCCTTTTTTATTGCAAAGTAGTATTCCATTACACAAGTATACCACCTTTCATTTGTTCAGCCAGTGACCAATTACTGGCCATTTGCCATTTGGGTTCTTCCCAGTTTTTTGTTTTGTTTTAAGGTTTATTTATGCATACAGAACAAGGGTACAGGCCAGAGGTGCAGGGGAGGTGAGACGATTCACTAGAGACAAAGCAAGGAGCATAACAGGCAGTCTGACGAAGTACACTGCTGAAAGGAGCAGTGGGCGATACAGAAGAGGTCTGTGTGGCAGGTTGGTCACCTCCGTGGCCAGGAATTGAACTTTCACTGAAGCACCTGTGGCGAGCCTGCAGGGTTGCGCTTTAACCCTCTGCGCCACCAGGGAGGGCTTCTTCCCTTTTTTTTTTTTTTTTTTTGTGGCGAGCCTGCAGGGTTGCGCTTTAACCCTCTGCGCCACCAGGGAGGGCTTCTTCCCTTTTTTTTTTTTTTTTTTAATATTTGCACCTAGGTCTTTAGGTGAACATATGTTTACCACCAAACCCTTTTTAATAGTTAAGGTGCCATTTTGCATTTAATCAGCAATATGTGGAGTCCCCTCTTGCTTTTGAAGTGCCTGCTTTATTTTATAGAACAGTATTTCAAACAGTCCACTTGTATTTTAAGAACTGTAAAAATGCCCATGCACTGCCAACTGCAGCACGGAGAAGAGGCTAATATCCAACAAGGTACTTACTACCTAGCCGGTGTCACAAGTACTATCACATAAATGTTGCAGCATCCCTGAGAAAGGTATGTGGAATGCCATTTTGTGGGGGAAAAGATTACAAGACACCATAGAGAAGAGATCTGACAGTCAGACCAGGGCTGTTAGCCGTCTCTGCGTTCATTAGGCTGTGTAGCTCACAGCAGTAAAATCAATCCCGGTGACTACGGTTTTAAAGTCTACAACATAAGGTTATCTCTAGGCTCTGGAACTGACAACCATACAACTTTTCATGCATCTTGATACTAATAAGAAGGAAA